TCCCTACATCATATTTATTTTTTGAATAGATAATAAATTCATATGGTTCAGAAATCAAAACAGTATAAAAAGATATATGGTGAAAAAAAAAAGATATATGGTGAACAGTCTTGCATCCATCTTTGTCCCAGTCCATCTAATCCCCCCATAGATAACTATTTTTACTAGTTTATTTGGTATCCTTCCAGTGTGTGTGTGGGCAGATACAAGCAAGTATGAATGTTTATGTATATTTGCCTACCTTTCTTACACAAAAGGTACCGCATTCTATATACTTCTGCAGGGGTGGCAGGTTTAGATAGGAAGGTCACCAAAGAGGTTCAGTTGAGCTGAGATCTGAATGATAAGGGGCCATTCTGGCAAAGGGGAGCAGCAAAAGCAAGAGGCACGAATGAGCAGGGTGTGGACAGGGAACAGAGAGAAAGCCAGAATGGCCTGAAGTCAGTGCTGGGAGCATGATGTGAGGTGAGGAGAGGCCAGAGGCACAGGGCCAGATCAAACAATTTTAAAAATTCTAAGCAGGAGTTTGGATTTATTTTAAGTGTAATCGGAAACCATTGTAAAATTTTAAGCATGATCTAGTTTGCCTTTTTAAGCGATCGCAGCTGCTGAATGTAGGATGGATTATAAAGAGGCAAGGTAGAAGTAGGAAAGCCAGTTAGAAGACATAATAATATAGACGAGAGATGATCGTTTGAACTGGATTAGCTGCAGTACAGATGGGGAAAAGTAGACAAACAGGAATTTTTTTTGGAGAGAGGGCCTGTAAGATTTTGAAAAGAATCAAATATTATGTCTTTAAGTGAAAAATAAAAATGTACTGACAGTTGGATTAATGATATTGAGAATGACTTCTTTCCTTATGAAGCCTTTCTGTGTTACAGTCTTTGGTGTCTGTGAGCATCTTGAAGGCAGAAACTGTCTGTTTTTATTAAGCACGTAGCAAAATGTTTGGGACATAATAAGTGCTCGAGTCATTCATCCATTCATCAACATCTAGTGAGTGCCTACTGTGTTTGTCCCATGCTGGAGGCCAGATTGTATCTCACAGAGGCCAGAGAGTCCTCTCTTTGCATTATCGAGGAAGTAGGCTGAAATATGATCTTTGTGAAACTGAAAAGAATGTGATTCTACAAAAGTCTAGTCCTGTTTTGGAGGGTAGCCCTGGTCATCGGGACTCAGGGCAACGCCTCAGGTTGAGCCTCATAAAATGAGAACTTGGGGGAGTTCCCTGGTGGTCTAGTGGTTAAGGAATCAGCACTTTCACTGCTGTGGCTCGCGTTCAATCCCTGGTCGGGGAACTGATATCCCACAAGCCACTTGGTGTGGCCAGAAAAAAAATTTTTTTTGAACTTCTGCCAGTAAATCTCTGCCCCTGCCTCCTCTCTACTTATCCCTCAAGACCCATATCAAATTCTATCCTGTCCATAAATACCTGCCCTGATTGACCTAGACTAGAAAGATCTCACCCTCCTCTGGATTTCTTTGGCAATTATTGAGTATGTAATCCAGTTGTCAATTAATGATTGACTACTGGGCTTCCCTGGTGGCGCAGTGGTTGAGAGTTCGTGACCCGGTCTGGGAAGATCCCACATGCCGCGGAGCCGCTGGGCCCGTGAGCCATGGCCGCTGAGCCTGCGTGTCCGGAGCCTGTGCTCCGCAAGGGGAGAGGCCACAACAGTGAGAGGCCCGCGTACCGCAAAAAAAAAAAAATTAATTAACTACCTTATGTCCTCTCTCTCATTGTCCTGGAATATTATTTATATCTCTTACTGTTATATAACTTTTTACTTGTTTGTCTTATGTCACAATCCATTTGGAATATTGGGCACAGGAAACATCTGAAGCCTGTCCCCCACAATGCCTTGCCCATAGTAGATCTATATTTTGCTGTGACCCCAGGGACCTCTGGTCCTAGAAGCTGCGCAGAGGCTTGATTGGCTTTGAGGAGTTAATCGTACCCAGGCTCTTAGCTCCTGCTAATTCTTCTGTGCCCCTTTTGCCCTGCTTTCCCTTCTAGGCGCCTCACTGCGAGCATGCTTTCTGCAACGCCTGCATCACCCAGTGGTTCTCTCAGCAGCAGACGTGTCCGGTGGACCGGAGTGTTGTGACGGTCGCCCACCTGCGCCCAGTACCTCGGATCATGCGGAACATGTTGTCAAAGCTGCAGATCGCCTGCGACAACGCTGTGTTTGGCTGCAGTGCTATTGTCCGGCTTGACAACCTCATGTCTCACCTCAGTGACTGTGAGCACAACCCAAAACGGCCTGTGACCTGTGAACAGGGCTGTGGGTAAGATTCCTACCCTTCTGCCCACACAGATAAGGGCCTTCCCGTTTATACCCCTGTCTCTGGATCCCCTGCTCGCTAGCTGAAGAGGCCTCCTGCAGGCAAGGAGTGTTCCTGGCCTCCCTGGCTCCCTGCTCCAAGATCTCACTTCTGTGCTGCTTTCCGAGCTACGATCTTTTTGCTCTTGCTTTAATGAAAGAAGGGAGACAGCAATTCAGCAATCTCTGTGATACCACTAAAGACTGATATACTTTATTCCTCCCTTTCATCCAGTACTACTTTTCTCTTTGTCAGATTGACTGCTCTGATATCCAGGCTTCTCATATTCCCTGTTGTCCTATTTTTTCTTTCTTTGGGGTGTGAAATATTTGATTAAATACTGATAGCTAGGGCTGTGAATCTAGGGCTTTTCAGAAGGAATGAGTGCACAGGCAGAATCTGTAGGAGGAAAGGAGAGCCACGTGGGAGATGAAACACTGTCTCAGAGAGGGAACGAGGCCCAGAGGAAGTAGACAGCAAAGGGACGAGGGAGAGCTGAGGAGAAGGAAATGAAGGCAATAAGCAAGAGGGCGCCTGAATGTTGGAAATGAATGAATGTTAGTCATTTCAGGTAGGAAAAAGCCCTCTCAGCAGTTATCTGCCTTTGCTCACATGTCCCATTAATGCTCCTATCCTGTTCTTTTCCCACCCTGGGTGGCAGCCTGGAGATGCCCAAAGATGAGCTGCCAAACCACAACTGCATTAAGCACCTGCGCTCAGTGGTACAGCAGCAGCAGACACGAATTGCAGAGCTGGAAAAGACCTCAGCAGAACACAAACACCAGCTGGCAGAGCAGGTAGGGCGCAGAGAACACAGGGCAGAACACGTCTTTCATATGCAGATAACCTCGCGCCTGTGGCCTGTGGGTGGCAGGTGTGGATGTGAGCAGCAGATCTGTGTGTGCACTTGAGAGCCTGGTCAGTGGATACTCTGCCTGTGCATAGCAGTGAATCAGGCTGGAGCTCTTCTTGCTTCCCTTCATCCCATCAGTGGCATTCATTTACTTACCATTTATCAAATGCCTTCCCTTGAAGGCACTATGCTAAGCACTGGGGATACAGCTGGGAATGATACAGTCGTATCCCTGTCTTCATGAAGCTTCCACTCTGGTTGTTCCTCAGATCTCTCCATTTCCCTCATTCTCAGACAAACTTTTGTCTCTCATCTACTGTCTGTCTGAGCTATTATCCCTTGTTCTCCTCCCCCCCGACAGAAACGAGACATCCAGCTGCTCAAGGCGTACATGCGTGCAATTCGCAGTGTCAACCCCAACCTTCAGAGCCTGGAGGAGACGATTGAGTACAACGAGATCCTAGAGTGAGTGTCACTCAGGACATGGAGTCATTCATCCCACGTCCTGGCACTGAGCCCTGGGGGGAGGGTAAGAAGAGGCCTGGGCTGGGGCCACTGCTTCTCAGATGTTGGGATGAAGAACAGGGCCAGAGGAGGAGGCGATAACCTTCAACCCTAGCAGAGGATCTCGTATTCTTTTGGGTGGTTGGAAGGGAAAGCTTACCCAAGAGTTAGATGGGTACCCACATGTACAAAGCCCTGTATTAAAGGCTGTGGGAGTGCTAGGAAGACCAGAAAGAGAAGATATTGTCCCTGACTTCAGGGAGCTTACAGTTCAGAGAAGAAGAGAGTACAAATCCAGGAAAGTGATCTAAAATACAGCAAAAACAAGTGAAGTAAACAAGTGAAGTCTAAGATCCCTTTCAGTTCTGGAGTTCTGCATAGTTCATAGACTAAACTGTGAGTCAGTCTGTATAGTGCAAATAGTGCTACGAGGGACACAGTATAGAGGAATAATTGCTTCATTCAGTACACATTTGTTGAGCACTTACTACATGCCAGGCACCGTGTGCTAAGTATTGGGATTTTTAAGAAAAATAACAGGAACCCTACTCTCGTGGAGTTTAATCTGGTGAGAAACATGTGGTGACACTCGGATGGGACCAACTAGGGA